TTGGTGCCAGACGTGTTGATCCCCACATCTCAGAAAGGGCCACCCTCCTCGGATTTTCACACACTACGGCGTCTAGAGTTTTTATGGAATGGTGCGATAAACAAAAAAACATCCAGTTAGTGGCAGTTCTGCGGGTGAAAACACCTTGTTAATGCGAGAGGTCACAGGAGAATGGGCAGACTCATTAAAGCTAACAGGAAGGCCACAAGTGCAAAAATAACAGCTCATTACAACTGTGGTGTGCAGAAAGGCTTCTCTGAACACAGAACCCTTGAAGTGCTTCTGGAGCGAAAACTAGGTCCTACCCTGAACTAGCTGCATGTACCTAATAAAGTGGCCACTGAGTGTATATTAATATATAATTGCTGTAATGTCAAACTTTATCTATTTGCCCCAATAAAGTGAGTGTGTGTGCTTTTTTTGTATTGGACACATATGTCATATTAGATGGATTAAATCTTATTCTTTATCTGAAGCATGCCTTAATATCACTGTGTCAGGATAAGAAAAATCTGTGATTGAGCTGAATCTAACAAGAAATATCGCAATTTTAAGGTGTATAAATGATCGCCTTTACACTGACGCCAAGGTTTTGTCGGCACCGAAACGTTTGCAAGCGTACAGCTTAGGGACACACATTACATATTATGTGATGCTTAAAGCCCTAAAACCTCAGGTATACAATCACACTAGGAAACGTCTGTCTGAGAGAAGAGTTTAGGCAGAACGAGATGGCAAAAGCACGGACGCCGTAGCTGTCGCCACTGCCCCTGCCGGGCTGTCCCCGAGTGGTGGCAGGCGGTAATGCGGCGTGGAAATGAGTTTGGAGGGCCATGTCTGTCCAGTGCCGGGTGGTGCCGGGATCGTGTGTCGCCGTGGGCAGATAAAGCAGCACGCCGAGCGTGTCAAAGGGGCAGGTGAACAAACCGGGAGCCGCATCAATCGGCGACACAGCAGACGCTCAGCTGGCTTGATTTACCGCCTCCATGAGGGCATCAGCCGGTGATGGCGGTGGCCTTCAGTGACAGCGGACCCTCGGCCCAGGGCAGCCCACTCAGGAGTGACACTCTGCCACTGGGCACAGTTCCTGCCCCCACCCCCACTTAGTGACTCGCTCAACTAAATGCATTATATTTGCACCGCATGCATTGTTGTCAGTACGTAATTCACTCAGACTTAAATGACACGCAGAGATCTGACTGACCTACTTGTGGTCCTGATTTTGGGATGGCTTGCCCACACAAAAAGCACTTGAGTGCTTTTCAATGTGATTACTGTCCTTTTCTTAAGGCCGATATCAAATGTCAGATAGAGGGGGTTCAATGAAAGATGTAGGTGTGGTTTCCTCATCTTCACGTCACACAGATCTACGGTGATTCTAATACATGTGAATCGGATCCATACGGATCCAAAAATTTTAAAAGATGGCTTTGGATTCTACACATCTATTACAGTGAAGCCCGATATGTGCGATGAAGAAATTAACAGTTTGCATTCGATAACTGATTATTTTTCCATTTTTTTTTTTCTTGAAAGGGATTTTGATCCACCAAGCTACTAATTAAATGACCTGCATCCTAGACACCTACCCAAAATAACATGAATTATAAGAAGAATCTTCTCTTCCACAGTACTGTGCTGTCTTTCAATGAATTGCCATTGTGAGATAAATGGAACTCACTTGGAACTGACACTGTGCATCTAATGCCCAGTATATTACAATCACAGCTAACAATTCAGGGTCATTAATGAGGTAACAGGTAGCCCATCATTAGCCATGTTTGGGTGAAATGCCTTTTTCAGCCTCCTGTGCCTGGTTTTTATTACAATTCATTATAATACACACACTTAATAAATCATATTTTTTTTTCCCATATCAAGCTATTATTTTTATTTAAAAGGGCCATTAAAGATTGGTCACTGGAACCATTAGTCTCATTATCTGTTTCTTTTGTTGCAAAATCAGCACAATTTGTAATTTTCAGTAGGGACGTGTCATAATTCAACTACTGTGTGTACTATAGGTGTTGAGGGAAATACTTTGGGGGAAAAATGTCCTGTATTGTCCTCAAATAACATAATATTCAAAATAAATTTGGTATTTCTGTCTACCACTCTTTGAAGTTTGACAGCTACTGGCAAAATTAATTAATGTGTTCGAAAAAAAAGGACTTTTTGTCGCTTGCTTTTAAGGAATAAATTGCCCTTTAAAGGGAAGCGTGTCTCCCAGGGTTTATAAACTTAATACTGTAAAGCCGCACGCTTCACAATGTGGACTCTATATTAGCTATTTTACCTGCACGTCTCTTAATATATGGGACCGATTCCTTTGAGTAATGATGATTGATGGCAGTTAAACGGTATGCTCTTTATCACATTGTAGAACATCTGGAGATAAAATAGCTTGCCATTTAACAGCTGTGTTCAATTATCGTTTTCGGCTAAATGCTATTTATGCTTATTTCTGAAAGTTCTACTAAAGAGCACAAGCGATTTCCTTATTAAGAAAAAACAAGGTGAAGCATTTGGGAATCGCCTGTTCTTAACCTTATAACAATCTGAGCTTCTTTGTTCAGGTAGAGTGGCATGAAGACTGCTGCTAAGTGAAATGTCTTATTCTCAATGGCATCTTATGATTGTAGTGCTTTTCAGTACTTTTTTTTACGAGTCATGAAATGGACAGTGACCTGCTTTTGCTGTTATGTCACAGATGATATGTGAAGATGCGTCCTATTTTTCTCAACCACTAAAATGTCTGTGTCCTTTACCGAAAGGATTACGATCCCTTAGCTTTTTTCCGTAATATTTTAAAAGGGCCATCATAGGATTTTTAGAAGCAGAACATAACTTATTGAACATTTTAAGTCGCTTATAATATTTGACCTTTGTGAAATGAGTTGTTGGCATTCAGAACCTTATTTTTCCAGGAATGGAGGCATTTTGTATTGAGGTGGCGTCTCCCCTTCTCACAGAGTCTGCTCTGTTCCATCTAATGCATTGCCAGTTCCATCTGCGCTTCTCAAGGAAGTGGAAGAATTGCGGGGAGGGGGTGGGGGCACAAATCTGATATAATGAGATTTAGTTGCACCCCCCCTCAGCTCCCCTAACACCAGCTCAGTTACAAATCCCCAATCCGCAGATCAGTTTTGACCCCTTGCTATTGTAGAGCCGGCTGTTCTGACCATTTTGAGTTGTGGGTTATTGAACTCCGGTTTGATATGGTAGGGCATTTCCTGGGGGATGTCCATGTGGCCTAGTCTCGCAGGTGCTGCCCATTTGCAGCATGGTGCCATGGGGGTGGCTATTGAGAGTTAACAGTTGAGGAAGGGCTTTTTCAAGGAGCTCTACTTAAAAAGCCAATAGGTTAAATGAGGAAAGGAAGTGAGGGTCAGAGGCAAAACATTGTTTATTCCAATTTCAGAATTAGCCATAAACAAGCACATCGGAAAGCCAAAAATCTCCACTCTTGAAGTTTTCATTTAAAGCTTGAAGGCCGTTTTGATGCCAGCTGTTTCGCATAATTGTAAATTTTTCAAATCCCTTATGTAACAGACATGCTTCTCAGAAGCTTGACATATTTATTTCAAATTAAATGGCTGAATGGAGCCATTTTACATGTTTTGAATGTCAGGAATCATAAATAAAATATGCTATGAGGGGATTTATAATCCCTTATTATTTTACAACTTTTATTGTTGTAAAAAATAAATTTTCTTTCTTTTACACCTTTCTATAGTAAATCATTAATAAAGTACTTAGAATGCAGTCATATCAATATTGCACAATAAAAAAGTTACTTAAATAACTCGAGAAAAGGCAGTGGTAGATACATTTAGTTATATTTCACTCTGTTGCAGTTATGACCATACCTTCCATATAACATTTGTAGATATAAATCAGGAATAAATTATTGATAGACATCCAATTGCTTTTTATGCTTCAAACGTATAGCACAAGCAGGTTTTTGGTATTTTTTGTCTTTTTTTATTGGGAGAATGAGTACTGAATGTGATAGTTACATAAACGCTTTTCTCTGGTCTCTTGGGCACGGTTCTGCGATTATATTACAGTATTACCTTGACCTTAAAGTAAAGCCTTTAATTGTCACATTTGTTTACAATACAAACTCAGATTAAATTATTTATAGGATATCATATAATGAACACAATGAAAAATATGTACATTGAAGTTGAAATATAATATTGTGATTTTTCAGATGTTCCTGCTTATGCTGCTGATTTGCTATACTGCTTTTACTGCTAATACAGATCCCTTCTCTATACTGTTCCGATCTGTTATGGAGATGTTCTCACCAACTTCACAATGTAAATCGTATGAAAAATACATATTCTTGACATTAGTCAATTGCGTACAATGGAAGATTGTGAATTTCACTGAGCATCATAAATAATAATAATAATAATAATAATAATAATAATAATAATGATAATAATAATTTCAGCTAAAGCTTTTTTGTGTGTTATTTTTTTTTTTTTTGGGGGGGGGGGGGGATGAGGGGTGGTTAAAAAAGAAATGACATGCACCTGGTCTCTGTTCATGTTCCGTTAAGCATTGCTAACAAACCAAAATTATTAAGACTCTCAAGCGGTCTTATATAAATTCGCAAGTCTTTCAAGTTTGTTACTGCAGGTGTTGCACTACAATTTCAAATCAAAGGTGCCAGTATTAAATTATTCTGTATCCTATGCAAAATGGTAAAAATGTTTGTATGGTGTGGCGTAAATATGAACTGGAGCTATACAATGGCTGCTAATGTGTTGGCGCATATCGCAGTGCGTATTCTTGTGTGTTTGCGAATGGTGGGATATGAGTCTCTCAGAGACGGTGTCTATGCTGTTTTTGCTGTGAAGGTCTCTAGCTGACATGTCTCTTAGTCTTTTGCAACCGTTTGTCGTCTCTTCTCTCTCCCTCTTTGTCCTGTCAATCATGCTATTTTGAATTTTCTTGTGCTTTTTGTGTCTTCCTTCTTCCAATCATAGGAGCACACGGCAAAAAACAGGGCGAGGATTTGTCCGATAACGACGGTGATGAAGATGAAGGTATTCTCTTTGGTGACCGAGGAAGATGCATGACTCAGTTTTGGCTGTTTTTTTTTTTTTCTAAATATTGGTTTTGTTCAGAACTTGACTCCTAAATGTATGACTGTCTATTTTGAATGCACCCCATCTTGCATTTGTGCGTCCCTATTCCCATCAGTCAAAAGACTCATCCAAGTGATGTATTTCTTGTGTATGTGATTTACCTCTGGTGTAAGCAGAGTGCTAGCAGCAGTGTTGCTGAGTCATAACTCTGACATTACCATCACTTACCTTATTACCTGGGTAAGTCTCATTCAATACCTACAAGGCACAATGTCACAAAGTGTGATAGGCAGCTGTTGCAACAGGACGAGTGCTTTTTTAATGAAAAGTTGTATTGGTTATAGATTCACAGGAATTTAAATCATTCCTGAAGATCGCAGTGGGTTTTGGGAGATATGCAAATATTGTGCGCATTTAATGGAGGATGTCAAAGCCAGTTTTATTTTTTTTTTGTGAACCTTGGAGTTCTTGCATTAATGCAGCTGCTGTAGCAAAGCTGTTTAGATGCATTTTTCATAATTTATACTTTGCAAAGGCTGTATTTATAAGAGTATGGATTATGCACAACAAGATCATACCTAATCTGAAGAAAGCATGGTTTACCGACAGATTATTTGTTGTAAATGGATTGTCTGATTCTTGGAACAAAATGTTGCCTGTAATTATTTTAGGTGCAATTTGTAGACAGCTGAGAGTAACATTCCAGATTTGTTCACTTTAATTTTGTTGACAAATAAACCCATATCCATGAATCATATTACTACTAAAAAGTCATACTGAAAAGGCAGCACTTTTTGCTGTGTATTGGCAGAGATACGTATTAGCATATGTTGGTTCCAGCTTATTGGTACACTACAGATACCTGAAAAGTAAGTCTAAATTTGTTGGAAAAATTCACTTTTACATGACACGCTGGTCGAGAAACATTATATAGTATATCAGGGGATGTTCATTGAAACATGACGTGTGTTCATTGTGAACACTACTCACATTTAGTTTTTGAAAAATCCATTCTCTGTTGTCCTGGGGGAGGTAACCGGCACCCATGCACATGACACAAAACTTGCACAGTGACCTAGGTCTCTAATATCTGGGCTTTACTGAGGAATTAAGTGACGTCATCATAAGCCTGAGAGTCATTTCCAGTTACGATAATGCCATATTGCAGAAATATGAGACTGATCTGAAACGGTTTTCTTTTTTTTTGTAATTCAGCCTTTAAGTTTGCCACCCTGCCAGTTCCTGGAAAATAGAGCTATAGAGATATTTTATTATTATTCAGGCATCCCTGGGTTAAGAACTTCCCACTTACATGCAAATCGTACTTATGAATGGACTGTCATAAAGTCTATTATATAAAAAATTCAGGTAAAATGCAACTTTGTGACGTTCGCGAAAATATTGGCCAGCTTCAGCAGTTTGTCAGCTCAAGGTACAGTACAGTATCATATGTAGCTATTTATTATTACTGTATAATAATTATAGTACTATCATTATTACTATTATGCACTGTATTATTATGTTTCAGATGTTCCTACAAATTTCACTTAAAGCTAGGGCATGCAATCTGTGACATTTTTTTTTGTCAAATTCAGCAAATTTATGCTAAAAAAAACAATCGCCAGACAGATAGGTAGGTCCTGCAGCTGTTTTGTTGGCAAACATTACGGATGAAATGTGCTGAAAACTTTCCAAACACGCTTTGGCTGTGTAGCATCGCTAATCTTGCTGATGTTTTTAGCTTTGCCAGATATATAACCTTACCACAGCCAGTTGTTGGCTAGCCAGCAATAGGTTACTGCAGCAAACTCCAATTTCAATTTTATTTCCCAATACTAACACGCTAGCTTGACAGCGATGAGTAGTGCGAATAGCCATTTCGTTGTTTGCATTCATTATGATGATGTTTGGTGTCTTCTTACCGTGAATGAGCCATAAGGTATTTGGATATGACAATGACGTGTTATGCTGAGCTCCCCCATATGCTCTCCCTCGTGGACTTGTCCTACAGCAGTAATCAGGCAGCACGCCTGCAAGTGTTTAGGAGGGGCTTTGGAGGGATGCCTGCAATGAGGGGGTGGAATTTTCAGTTGGACTTTCAAAATCAGCTAGTTTCTCCAAAATCACATACCCTAAACAAAGACAGACTTAAGGAATGGATCTTCTTCATAACCTGGGGACTGCCTGTATTTATTTTTTAAATAAAACCAAGTAGGTACAAGATTCAGTTAGATTTTGGGAATATTTAGTCAAGAGAGTGGGTCCAGCCTTTTGGTGAAATCGATATGCTCCAAAATTGCATGAGCCAAAAATCAGCCATAATTGATCAGTTTCATCTTGACTATACATCGTGTTGCTAAATGCACAGGTGGTATTACCAAGACAAGTTCTACTGCACTTTAATTGAGTTTATGCAGTCCTCGTTTAGCATTTTAAAAACAGAACTGCAAGCACAAATTGTTATTGATGGCGCCCAAGTGCCCAACTACACTGAGCCAATAAGGCTGTTAAAAGTAATCTTGTGTTTGTCCAAGCAAAAAGCAGCACCACTCAGCCATTTTATTTGTTTTTCTGATATACATTTTATCCATTTTGTATGTTTAAATATTATTCTTACATATTTGTATATACATTTATCTACATATTTATGTAGTTGGACAGGTGGGCTAGGTCACTGAAATAAAAAAAACGCTCTCATCTCGCAACTTGGCAGAATCACAAACAACTATAAGCAGTATGCACAATTTTTCACTTTCTGCACAATTAAAAGCAAATCCCTGTCAAAGTGTCAACAAACAGAAAAGGCAGCCACCGTTTCACTCGTCATATGCACTTGACCCATGCAATTTTGCAGCATATTTGTGATTTTAGGTGAAATTATGTTGCTACAGCCTAACTGTAATGGGCCAGAACTCTGCACTTGAGGTCTCTAAACACCATGTCAAAATGCATCAGCGTAGACGATTCAGTGACATTGACAACTGCAGTTCTCACTAGTCACCATTAATTCAATCTGTACTTTAACCCAAACATCTCAGTACTCTGACATTAATTTAGATAATTAAAAATTATGGACCAAGGGTGGAAAGAGTTGTAAAAAATCTTACCCAAGTGAAAGTTTTGTTGCATTTCTCTGCATATTACATTTTAATGCGCTTCCAAACAGGTTACAACTACATTCACAAGATAGCACAAATGTTTTTGACTGAAGTGACGTAGAAGTGAGGCAAAAAGCACATTACAGATATACCTGCTGTCTAGGAGTCAGACCACTATTGACTAAGGAAGTTTATACACCTATAGGTCAGTTTCTCTGGTCTGAATCGGTTGATGTGTTTGTAAATGTAGTGTTTTCACCTCGATTCAGTTTGCTTTCACATAGAGAAAGATCTAAGCTAAGCAACAACGCACCACTACAAACCACATGAAAACATTCATTCTGCTTATTGGTCAGATGTGTCTGTGGCGGCAGCAAGAAAGTAAATACAGAAAGAAAGTCCTGTGTCCTGGGCTATGCAGTAAATACAGGAGGAAAGTCCTGTGTCCTGGGCTATGCAGTAAATACAGGAGGAAAGTCCTGTGTCCTGGGCTATGCAGTAAATACAGGAAGAAAGTCCTGTGTCCTGGGCTATGCAGTAAATACAGGAAGAAAGTCCTGTGTCCTGGGCTATGCAGTAAATACAGGAAGAAAGTCCTGTGTCCTGGGCTATGCAGCTGAACATCTCTTAATTTTAAGTACTAAGTTGTTCAATCAACCAGTCAAAAGCCTCTCTCCTTCAGCCATTGGCTAAACATTTTGAAAACTCATTAAGAGTTTTCTGAGTTGTTTTTAAGATTTGACGGATGTCATCTGTCCAGATTTCAAGAAGGCAATGTATCTTGCTGCTTGACCAAGTAAGACCTCAGTTCATTTCTCCTTCTCTGCCTGCCTACTGCTACTGGTTTGCATGCTCTGCCACATCCCAGAATGCAAAGCACACCAGGATTCGGGAGTCGTGTAGCTGAATCTTGCGGACTCCACCTGGAAGTTGGGTGGGTCTGAGGTCATATCACGTTCATACCACACACGAGCCCCTCCAGGGTTCCGGACCGGACCGAGACCACCTCATCTTAAGGGTCTTTGTACAGTTCTTTTGATCTGCACCCGAGTGTGATTACTGTGTTCACACCTACCCAGACCAAGGGGCTAATCGAACCAGAGTCTGTTTTAACCAGACTAAAAAGTGCTGGTGTGAAAACACCCCAAGAATCGTGAAACAGCACTACAGTACATTTACATTTATTTTTTGTTAGTAGACATTTTTGTCTAAAGCTACGTAGAAGTGAGGCAAACAGCACATTGCAAACACAATCGCTGTCTTGTAGTCGACGAGGCGTACGGCTAGGCTGAGCTTCCAATGCATACCGAATTACAAGTGCATTATAATGACATAACAAACCGGAGAGCAACTATCACATGATGCCTGCATGTTCAGAGGCTACAATCCTACTACAGCCAAAACAGCCAGTGTGAAACAAACCAGTTTCAGCCTGCATAACATCTCTGCGTTGTCTCTATATCTCACTTGCTTGTCAATGATCTTATTATCTGTCAATTATCAATCTCAATTTAATGGCTTGATATTGAACTAAAAACTTAATTGGTATTTGTTAATTAGCATTACTACATATAGTCAAAGAAGTTTGAATTGTTTAGAAAGAACTTGAGTGATATATATTGTGATATGCAGGGTTGCCAGGTTTGGTCAGGTCGTTGGCATGAGATTTTCAATTTGAGATGAGTCTGCACACACATTGACATGCATGTTAGTCTTTTATTACCTTGTAAATAGTCTGTAGGGTTTGCAAACTGCCCCATCGCTTTTGATGTAGATAATTTTAGGTTTACAATGCAATAATATAGGTTTGCGGTATGATTTCTTGCATGAGCTTGAGTCTGAAAGTGTGGGTGTCATGCC